ACCCAAAAAGAGAAAATTCATAATCGGTCTAGGCTGAGTTAAGATATGATTAAAGATCTACTGAAAGTCCCAAATCCTAAGTTAAACTCATTTTTCACAGAATTTATTCTTGTCGCTATGGTAATTCATTGTCGGCTTTCAAAGCAGTCATTCCGAAAAGTGTCGTAGATGTCTCGAGAGCCGGGTCATCTCTGCTGATGTCGCGGTAAAATTGCCTAAGAGACAAATTTTCTTTTACTTTCGACTCAACAAAATAGCTTGGGACACCTCTCGAAGGAAAATTAAATTGAAATGAATTCGTAAAAATATGAAAATTGGGTCTCGAGGAATTCAGTTATGATTTATTGTAACATGACTTTCCATTTTGAAGAAAAAGTTGGCTGGAAGGAATTAGTGAAATGTCCGTATCAAAAAACGAAGGAACGTTTCCGCCAAGTGAAGACTGCTTGATTGTAGGAATAGGTCCTGCGACCTTCTGACAAATTTGGGCCAAGTTTTAGTCTGTACTGCCGTGATAAACATCATCAGAGCGTAAAAAATAAACCAAACCAAGAGAAAAGTTATAATGTAGTGCCATTTCCCAAGGAATGCATTCTTGCAGTGATAATGCCTGAAACGGCGGTACAGAAGAAAGCAGAGTACAGGTTTTTCGGAGGTTCGTTTGTCGATGCGCCGAGGACTTGTTCGTACAGTTCAACAGACTTCACTCCACTCCGCGGCAATTTTGCTTCATTTTCTGGTAGGACCATTTCACGAATTGCTTCCAAACGACTTTTTCCTCGAAATGCAAAGTTATGTCAAAATAAAGCTGTACATAATTCTTCGAACCCCAGTCGAAAGTGAATGTGGGAAAGGAGAATAGAGACGATACCGTTTTTGGGGAGGACTCACCTCTTCTCATATCGGACACACCAGTTGCCGATGTAGCCGCAATCGGGAACCCAAATGCGCTCGTAACGCTCGAAGGGTTGTCTGTATCTCCTCCGAGTGGGAACCAGATTTTTGTGTTCGACCAGGCAGACGTTGGGCCTGAACAGAGCGAAGCAGAGAGAGGAGAAAGGAAAGAGAAAAGAGGAGAGATAAGAGAATAGAGATGCAAAAGGATAGATGAAAGATGAGAGAAAATTATGCATTATGTGAACCCAAAGCCATCCGCAAATGACAATAGATGCAACAATTCGAACCTGTTAACCACAAGCTTATTAATGAAGCCGAACAAGTGTGATAGAAAACGCAGCTTTCATAAGGCTATGATATTTTCACTTTCAAACGTAGGATTAGCACATAAATCCGCAACCTGAATAGGACAAACGTGTGACCAAAATTGAGCGTTAAAAATATGTGTCTGTTTGATAGGGTTATGT